CCATTTTATATTCCCACCAGCAATGTAAGAGGATTCAGATACACATCCTTGCCAACTCTTGGTATTAACAGCATATAATTTTAGTCCTGCTAGTGGGTGTGCAGTATTACGTCATTCATAGTAACCAGATGACTACTGATGTTGAGCATCTTTTCATGTGTTTACTGGCATTCATATCTTCTTTTGTAAAATGTCTATTCAAACATTTTATCTATTTTATTTTGGGTTGCTTGTTTTAATTTTGCATTGTAAGAGGTTTTTTTTTTTTTTTTTTTTAAATATATTCTGGGTATTTTCTTCTACTCTTTGGCTTGTCTTTTCATTTTCTTAACAGTGCCTTTTGCAAAGTAATAGTTTTAAATTTTGATGAAGCCAATATTTTGATTTTTTTGTTATCATTAGTGCTTTCTGTGTCCTATATGAGAAAATTTTGCCTATCCTACAGATTTTCTGTGTTTTCTAGAAATTTTATGGTTTTAGCTCCTATGTTTAGCTTTATGATTTATTTGGAGTAAAGTTTTTTTTTTGTATGGGTCAAGCTCCCCACTCCCCCAATACGATCGCCATGAATCAGAATTGACTCAAAAGCAAGGGGTTTGGTTTTGGGTTTTTATAGCTATCCTGTTGTTTTAGCATCATTTACTGACATGACTATCCTCACTGAGTGACCTTGGCATTCTGACCCATACATGAGAGTCTATTTCTTGACTTTCTATTCTGGTTTTTTGTTGTTGTTGTTTTTAAACCCCTATATGTCTATCCTTACATTACTATAACACTGCCTTAATTTCTATAGTTTTTCCACAAACATGATATATTCTTCCATTTAACTCTTTTAAAACTTCTCTCAGCAATGTTTTGTGGTTTTCTGTGTATAGGTCTTACACATATTTTTTTCAAAGAATTTGTATAAGACTAACGCTACTGTATTTTTAATTTCATTTTCTAATGGTTGCTAATATTTAGAAATACAATTAATTTTTATCTGGCAGACTTGCTAAATCTGCTAATTTCATCAGGCTAGCATTACCCTAACACCAATTTCTCACATTTCAGACTGGCAAAAATTATAAAGTATAATACCACTTTCTGTTGGAGAGACAGTGGGGAAATAGGTATTTTCATATATTGTCGGTAGTAATGAAAGCTATTAAAACATTTTTGGAAGCGAATCTGGCCAGAGCCAACAAAACCATAGCTGTTTACCTTTTGACTAACCAATTCCACTTCTAGAAATTTACCCTGAAGATACAGTTCCAACAATACCTACAAACAAGGTTATTCCTGCAGCATAGTTTGTATAACTGAAAAATACTGGAAACAAACTAAATGCCCATACAACATGAACGAGGTTGAATAAACTGTAGTACATCCACACAACTGAGTACTCTGCAACAATACCATAGAAGAAGGAAGATTTCTATGAACTAATGTGGAGTGATTTCCAGGATATTTTGTTAAGTGAAAAAAAGCAAAATGCAAAAGAGTACCTATACTATGCTACCTTTAAAATAAGAAAGGTGAATAAAAAATATATACATTTCTCTGTTCATTTATTCAAAAGAAGCATAGGAAAAGCATAATGGAAATGAGATAGAAAGGATACAAAGAATTATGATACAGAGGAATGACATTTCTCTGAGAAGAACTTTTTGTATAGTCCTGACTTTTGAAACAATGTTAATGTCTCATATATAAATACAAACAAATAAACAAAAGCAAGGGTGGGAAGAAAAATCCTAACAATGAATACAAACAAAAACAAACTGAAGCAAATTTCAGATGAATAATGAAACTACAGTGTCCACACTACCCCCTGCCGTCGAATCAATTCCGACTCCTAGCAACAAAGAGTAGAACTGTTCCATAGGGTTTCCAAGAGTGGCTGGTGGATTCGAACTGCTGACTTTTTGGTTAGCAGCCGAGCTCTCAACAACTGTGCCATCAGGGCTCCAACTACACTGAAGAGGGTATAAAAAAGAAATAACCCAAATAACTTTTCAACACAGTATTTAGACCATCTGCCTTCAGGCTAAAGACAAAAAGAACTCTAAACAAACACTTAACTATAATCAGTAAGTTGCGTCTTTTCAGAAGCATGGGTTAGCAATTTTGAAACTATTTTTACTCTAGGATTGAGTAATTAAGTAAATATATTGTTGAGAATGGGAGTCAGGTTTCTCACTGTCACTGAGAAGGGAGTTAAAATATGGAAAGAAGGAAGGATCGAAAATAATAAACTATGGGATGTTGGATTGGAACTGGAGATATCAGTACGAACATGTGGATTTTAACATAGCTAGATATAAAAATGAATATAGATGTGTGTGAATGCATATACGGCCAAAGTGTATGACTTGAATCTAATCAAGAGGAAACATTAGATAAAGTTAAGGGACAATCTACAAAATAATTGCCCATTCTTGTCAAAAATATCAAAGTCATAAAATACAAAGAAAGACTCAGATGAAATGAGACTAAAGAGACAGCACAACGAAAACCTATGCATGATCTTAGATTTTCTTTTGCCATAAGGGGCATCATTGGTATAACTGGCAAAACTCTGAATGTGATCTGTTTTTTAGACATTCATATTAAACCTGTACTAATTCCCTGACTTGATAACTACACTCTGGTTATATAGGATAATTAGTTTTTTAGAAAACACACAGCAAAGCATTTACGGGTAGGGGTATGTCTGCAACTTTTCAAACGGTTCAGAAAAAAATTACACATACATAGAGAGAAAGGAGGAGAGAGAAAGAGAAAGCAAATATGGTAAACTTTTAACATTTGGAGAATCTGAGGGAAGGGATTTACGATTTCTTTGTACTATTTTTGCAACTTCTCTCTAAGTTTGAAATTACACCAAAATAAAAAATGGAAGGATATAATAGTGAACACAGTGATACCAGTTACATGCTTGCAGATGGAGGGTTTCCTGGGATGCAAGATTTTCAGGGCTCAAACTGGGAATGCTGGTCACCCCAGGTAAAGCTCAACCATGATGGCACCATAGGTAAATATTTATGATAGTACAACCACTCAATAAAATACTACAGGCAAATCAAAAGTAAAAATGTGAAAACTGTAACAAGGGGAGATACTTATAAAAGTGAAAAAAGCAGGACACCAAACTCTATAAGTAAGAATTACATGCATATGTACATATAAAAAGGTTTAAACTGAAAACAAAAATGGCACAAGTTAACAGTGTGTTTCTCCTGTCTGGATTTCCTATAATGTTAAATTTCTTAATAATTAAAAAAAAATTCCTTCAAAAAGTGTTACCAACATTTCAGAAAATGGTCATAATTAAATCCATACAAATGAGCTGGGTGATGGAGTTCAAGGAAGTGTGATCTGTCAATTAAGATGCTCAAAACCAATGTAAAGTTTTTTAGCTAGTTCTGAGTATGTACATACCTCCTTAAAATTACCTTGTTTCAGACATTTCCCGTATTTTAGGAACTCTGCAAAGCTACCTGTAGTATCAGGAATTGTTCTTCAAAAGAAGTGTCTTTAGACCTTATAAAATATGACTTTTAATTTGTTGGGTAGGTGAAGTTCAGTTCATAATTTACCAGATGAGGGCTGTCCAATTAGACTGTCAGCTCCCCAGAGGCAAGAATTCTATGTTTACACCCCTGGTGCCTAGCACAATGCCAATCACCAAAGTCTGTTTTTGGGCTGAAGTGCTGAAAACCATACACTCTCAAATAGAGGTTTTTAACCTGAAACGAGTGGGCTCCTAAGGTAACCACAAATGGCCTTCGTGAGGTGGGGAATGATGGGGGTTGTCATTTATCAACCTCCTTCAATTTTATCAAATATTGTCTGTATGTCTATTTTTGCAGGGGTAAAGTCTATAGCTTTCATCAAATTCTCAAAGAGGTCCAAGACCCAAAAGGAGGTCAAGAAGTACTGTTCTAAACAAAATTATGAGATTTCCTAGTATCTTAAAAATTTAATAATGATATGAAGTCATTCATTCAATGTTCATATCAGGGTTAGGTCACAGAGCCAAAGAGATGTTATAAACTTTAAACATGAGTGAAGAAAATCAAAAGTTCCCAACTAAGGGTTAAACGCAAACTTGATTGTAAAACATCATCAATCCACTCAATGATTTACCACCACATAATCAACCTGGTGAATAACCACAGTATATGTTACGCATTATATATCACTAAAAACGTTTTGATGACAATGTTAAGTCACTCTAACTATATTTGGAAAATTTGCTATTTAAAAGAGGCCGAAGAGGGGAACAAATACATTTATTCATTGTACAGTGAGTGTGCCTACTAAATGCCAGGCACTAGGGCAGGCACTGAGATTACAAAAAGAAGAATACTCAGATTTTTTGAGAAGTGCAAAGACTTGGGAAAGACAGATGTATAAAAATGTAACTGCTTAAAAGATAGGTGGAAATGAGTAGTTTCCTGAGGAAACTAAAGACTATTTCCAAGAAGAACTGACAGACAAGCGGGAGCAGCTTTTCTGATATCAGAAAGAACTGTAGGTTGGAATGGACAGACAACACTTTAGGCTGTGGATGTGTTTATAAAAGTGTGAATAGAGCCCTCCTGTGTGCTGAGGGAAGGGTGGGGGAAAGAGCAGTGGGAGAAAGAATTATCTATGAATTGATGATGAATTTGGAAATTTTCCTAAATTAAAACAACAGCAGCTACTGAAGGTTTTTAAGCAGAGGAGTTACTTGGGAAAAAAAACAGCATTTTTGAAAAATAACTCTGGGAGCAATACACAATGTAGATAATAGACTAAAGTGGGAAAGAACAAAAAAGATAAGAAAACGCTTTGGTAAAATTATTCTTTCTGATAAAATTAATTATGCTTGATCTTTTTTGAAGTTTAGGTCTTCATATATATATCTATATTTAAGCAATACATACATGCGATTTAACAGCAATTCTCACAGAAGCCTACTATGGACCTACCATTTGCTCTAACAGCTGCACGTCCGGGCTGCTGCTTACCTGTAACAGACAGATTAGTAACTGCAGCGCTGGTTAGAGGGAGTACAGGGTTGACTGTGAGGGTAGTTGCTGCACTGCTTGTCACAAGGCTTGGCGTGGTTGCCACCTAGAGGTCAGAAATGAAAATATGCACAAAGCACTTATAATCAAAACTGAAAAATTTAAGCCCATACTTTAGACTTATTTTGCCTATAAAATTTTTTTAAATCTCATGTAAACCAGAATAAAATAGAATGACCTAAGGGGAAGTGATTTTATAATTATTCTTTGATGTAAGAATTGAGAAAACTGGCATCATTTGTTAGAAAGCTGCTATGAGAACTGATAGCACAAGTGGCTTTGTCCCAGGTTTTAAAAAGAAAAAAAAAAAACCTCTAAATTTCAATAATGTTGAATCATACATACTTCTAATTCAGTAAGTAATATTATACTTTACGTCAGCAAAAAACTATTCTACAGGGGTAGGGAATCTGGGGTTATTACACTGCTTTTACTCTTGTTTTTTTTTTGGAGTGGTTTCCTTTAGTGAAATGATATTAAAAAAAGAATGTGAAGGAAATCTTTTAAAAAATGAGAAAGTTTCTTTTTGAAAAAACAGAAAATGTCTACAATTTTCTAAGAAATACTGTCTTCTTTCTAGTACAAATACATCTAAAACACAAAATAGTCCCCTACATCAAGTTGTATTTAATGACTATTTTTTCATAACTACTATCTCATGAACTGTATGACTAAAGCCCCACCATTTCACAACCATAGCCTTTACTCAACAAACTAACTCATTTACTTTTCATTCCTGTTGTCACTGAGTTGACTCCAACTCATGGCAACCCCATGTGTTATGGAGCAGAATTGCTCCATAAGGTTTCCTGGGCCATAGTTTTTATGGAAGCAGATCACCAGGGCTTTCTTCTGTGGCACCACTGGGTGGGTTCAAGCTGACAACCTTTAGGTTAGTAGTTAATCACAAACCACGTGTGCCACCCAGGGACCCTTCAACAAACTAAAGTGCCCTTAATACTAACTTTAGCTGAAAAAAGCCTTCCAGTATGGAACGGTATATAAACAAAATAAAAACAAATTAACAAGAAAGGAACAGAAATGAAAATCCAACAATCTTCCCACACTTGGAATCTTGGTTGCCCACGTGGAGTCACATTTATAATCACTGTAAAGGTCAAGGGAGTCACATGACGTCTACATGTCCCTTCAGTTGAGGAATAATATTCTAATGCAAACAGAAGTCACTCCTGAGGTTGTATATGAAAGGACAACATATTGTTTGAGAACGAAAAATTGGAGATGATGGTTTTAATACAAGTTCAGAGCTAAATGAGCTATTAAAAAGCTTACTGTTGCTTAATCACATTAAGTACAAGTTCAATAAACAGAGCTTTAGGATCCCACAAGAACAAAAAGCAACTGAAGATATTTTGAATAACTAGAATCAGCAGCAAATTGACTCCCCATGGTTAAAAAGTAATGTAATAAACAACATTACAAAGAAGAATAATGAAACTATAAAGAACTATGAAATAACTAAAATTGTTCACTTTAAAATAAGAAACAACCAGCCTAGGAAATGAACTCTCGAGGACTATCCAAAACCAAAAGAAATACAACAGGGCATCAGAGCAGTTCATCAGTAAATGACAACATCATCAAAAC